GCGACAATGACTGAGATAGATCCCGAGATGACATCCCGAAACGGAGAATGAGAAGTCATTCCTGGTGACTGGCGACTGCCGTTCACAGTTGGTACTAACTAAATTCTCATGAGCCACCTTTCAGATGCTTTATTTTGCCTACGTTGGACTGGATGATCAACGATAGCCTGAATTGCTTTCGGAGCAATTTCGGCGCAGAAGACGTCTGTATAGATCAACCAAAGTAAGCTTCCAACGGAGATTTTAAAATTGATTTTTAAGGTAGGCCGAATATTTCTTTGGATACACAACACGTCTTGGTTCGTTCTCGGCAAGACTTGGTTTAGTTCCTTTGATCACCAAACTATATGAAGACATGAAAGAGTTCAACGTTGTAAAATTCATTATGGTTGATCTAAGAGGTTAGTCGATGATTGTAGAAGTCCGATTTATTGAGAGAAACAGCTGCAGTTGAACTATCTGATGAGGACTGAATGGTGCAGGCTGCAATCATCTACTTGATATGCTCAGCAGGGCCATGAGGGCTGAAACAAAGATTTGAGTCGGGTGTTCATTATTTATTCAGATGTTTTTTCTTGGCGATCGTTTGTCTCATAAGCAGCTGCTCGCTCCGCCTAGAACTGAGATGTCTCGTCCGCAGTACCGAAACTAGGAAAGAAAAGAAAAAGAAATGATGGGCTTCTGACTGTTTGAGAAACGATTCTCAAACGGATGATAAAGCCCATTATAATAATGCTGTATTTTTTTGTCAAAATTTTCTGTTTTTGTTCCGAGGCCACCTTGCCACAACCCATTCCAATTTCTTGAAATCTCGATCGCTTCGAGACCAATTCGTTAGAAATTTGAAAATATTCTTATTTTGCAAGATAAATTCCAGCTTTTCCTTGTTTAATTAATGTTGTTTTGAATATTATCAGTGATGAAATGAGTGTCGGAGTGTTTCTTGATCGGTGGGGAACGAGCTTATGAAGGTTCGGCTGTCGTGCACCCATGTGTGGCATACGGAAGTCGAAGAGTTCTGTCCGTTCGAAATAAAAATTAGTTTTTCTTATGTTTTCGCCTTACAATGAGATGGTTTTAACCACTGTTACTTGTCTTTTGGATCAAAGTTTTTTATAACTCATAGACACTAGAAACACAGGTGGTTCTTATCGATGTTCGGATATTGCTGAATCCGTGCTTATGGTTTTTCAGAATCAGTTATTCGCTGCACCTGCCTTCATCTCCTGATGTGACGTACATAACTGATTATTAGCTTTCGCCATTGGGCATCGCTTGCTGTAACGAGTCCACGTTAGCCCAACGACTATGCCCGGTTTTGAATCTTACCTATTCAATCAACAGTTGCCAGATAATGAGTTCTATCGAGAAGTTCAAAACGTTGTGACCACTATCAGCGGTCTAGTATTTTCGTTCACTTATGTGATAATCTTCTTGTCGCCTTCGAGCAAGGAGTCACCTTATTACAAGGCTCTCGTCCACTCTCAAGCAGTAAGTTTGCTTCTTCAAGTTTTAAACGGCTCCTTATAGATCTTATTGTTCCTTTTCTGTTTCACATGGAGCTTATTGATGAAGTATGTGTGTCATCTGAACCATGGCTTCTTCTACTCCGAGGGCTACTCCCACTTCATTGGATTGACGTCAGCTGGTGGCTATGTTATTCTGTGCGTTCTTTACGGGAATTACGGTTGTGTCATAATTTGTTCTTATCTATTCCGGTTATACCTGTTAGTCGATCATACTCATTTCCTCCGGGTAAGTAGCTAGCCAGTCATGATTGTGAGCTTTTCTTCTTGTAGATGCCTAACTTCTTTACCGCAATGTGTATTGTGCTTGAACTTGTTTATGTTATTCTTCCGACGCCGACGTTCGTCATTGGATATTCTGAATTTGATCCGAAAACTCTGTCATTCAATGTGAGCGCTCAATTGTTCTTCTGAAATCGTATTCTCATAGCTGACTCAAGAACAATTAGATTATCTGCACTCCAGGTCAGTCATGAGCTACAGATTACTAAGTGTTCGAGAAGCTATCTATCCTACATACTTCGGATCTTTGATTGTTATCGCTATAGTGGTGAGTTGTTCTCTATTCCGTATGGCTGCCTGCTTTGAATGAACAGTTTGAAATGCTCAGATCGTTATTATTTCAATTCATAATACTGTCTATCATATCAAGAAGAAACAAAGTTTAATGTCCGCCGGAGCCACCAAACACCATCTGAGAGTGTTGAGGATTCTGACCATTCAGGTGAAACTCTGTGCTGTCAGGGTTATCTCCAATCTTTTAGACTGTCTGCATCATGTCCGTTTCATGTTTTGTTCCTTTAGCAGTTACATCAACACTGTTCATTGATGTTCATTCATGTATCTCCCACATCCCAGTTTATCAGAATTTCCACCTCATTTCAGACATTGTCAGCTTTTGCCTTCTTGCCCTAGGAATGGATTCAGTGATCAATTCACTTCTAACTCTATACTTCAACCCAGTTTTCAAGCGAACTATTCTGACCCTCTTCCAAACTCAGTTCTCCTCTTTGCGAAGTAATGTAAGCTCAGTAGTCGCAGGTTGAAGCTAATCGTGGAAGATACTGATGCACAAGATCTTTGATTCGGAAAATTCGCATATTCACCTCGATCTCGAACTTCATTCAATCCGTTTTGATCACACTTCTTTTGTACTATGATTCGAATTGAGTTCGTAGTTTGGTTTGAGAGTTACGAGACTGTCTCAGTCAGTTATTGATCAACAACTCAGACCCTATGAGTCCTTATGGACAACTTACAGACATATTGATTGTTTTTTATCATACTTCATTCGAATGAATCGTTTTTCTCTATAACCGCCTAGTCCAGCATGATTTTTATTTCTTAAGTGTGAGCTTCGGCTATCCTCCGCTTCTGATTTACACGTGTGTTTGTGAGGAAGCCTGTTAGATCGTTCATGAACTGTTCTTCTGTTTCCTGTGAAAGACATGAGAGGAGAAGGAGAAGAGATATAGCTTACTTCCCTCTATGGTTCTCTATGTAAATCTAGTAACGCACTGTAGGACGTAACTTTTTTACTTCTTGTGCTATATCCTCACTGAGTTGCTCTTGATCTCATTTCCTCACCTCTCTCCTTGTTTTGATCGTTCTTTGAAGTTGTAGTTCGGTGTTCAACTCGGATCATTCGTAGTAGCCACGCCCATCTCGAAAGTTCCTCCTACTGCTCATTCAATCAACTAACAAGGCTATTGATTGCTTTTTCTTAAATTACTCTTATGAGCAATATATTCTGTTGGTTGTTCTGCTTTCATTGATTTCCATATTTTTCACTGAGCTTTTCCCTTCCCACCTCAAGGCTTCTCCTCCATCTAACCACCCTATGAATTGAAACTTTCATGAGCCTGAAGTTACTCTTTCCTTTCCTTGTTCTTGTCAGTCGATTGATATAGTAATCACATGAACTATCAGTNAGTCGATTGATATAGTAATCACATGAACTATCAGTTTCTTATCCTTTTCTGGTTGTTGTTTGTTGTTTGTTTATCATGTGGACATCATTCGATCATCATATATCTTGGAGAGTAATCTATCCAACAACTTTCATGAATTTTGGTCCATTTTTCGTTGAGTTAGGTCCTTTTCTATTCCGAGCCATGCACGTGCACGACCGCTCCACACGTGAACCGCATGTTGAGGAATGAAAATCACGTGAAAAATAGCACGATTGCTTAACTCTTTAGCGAATTGAGAAATGAAACTCATGCATTTTCATTTTCATCGCTTGAAAAAGAAATGCGCGCTGTCGTCTTGTGAACTTCAGAATCTCAGAATTCTCTTGATTCTCAACCAATTTTCATAAAATTTTTTTTCTATCTGAAACAACACGAGCCTTCCATATCTAAGAAGCATTTCAATACAATTCTTCCTTTTCATTTCAATGGTTCTTCTTTGAAGTTGTAGTTTGATTGGTTGGCTGTTCTTCGAAGTTGTACTTCGATTGTCAAAGATGACCCTTCTTCGCTAAGTTTTGATTGAGTTCTGCTCCCTCATTCANGATTGTCAAAGATGACCCTTCTTCGCTAAGTTTTGATTGAGTTCTGCTCCCTCATTCAACTTACAGGATTATTGATTGATGAACCTTCATAATGGTTTATTCCATATCAAATTCTTTCTCTCGTTCTATTTGATTGCTAGGAGGTATCTTCAAGCGTGCTCCTTGACACTTCTTCTGGCTTGTACGTCTTGCTCTGATCTGCTTGTGTTGATAATTCAGGTACTGTCTTTCTTCTCGTATCTCGTAAGGCAGATTCTCACTCGTATCCTCAATTTTAAATTTATTGAAAGCCGATAGCTGTACGCGTTTCAATCTCCAGTCTTTGAAACT